TTTCCGTATACCACACAATCCGATATGCATATCAAAGGTGGGGTAATTGGGACACCTATAAATATACGTTCTACTTTTGGATTAACATTTTTTCACGATTATTTCTTTACGATAACTAGAGTAAACACGCTTAAGACTACTTAAAAAACAAATTTTAAATTCATAAGCTCGTAAAAGAGAACATTAAAGGCACACTTAAAGACATCTTATTAACTTAAGATAGTCCGAAACAATTTCTTTTGGAAATCTAGAACTGCTGAACAAGTTTACTCAATTTTTAACAAAAACTTTTTGACCAAATTAGGAGCAGAACGAATACTTATTCCTACATTGTACTTTCTGGTAACTATGTCTTGTGAATTTCATAGAAATCAGGTTGTACCTCGTGCTCAGATCACAGTCGATATTCATTTTATTTGCTCCGATATCGCTAATAAGCTCGTCGACACATTCACAGCATTTCATGACTTTTTAGATTTTTCTCTGTCGTTACAACTCTTTTTTCATTTTTCTGTTTTCTTTATCTTTAATATTTCTTATGCCGCCGAATAGAAAGCTGATAGTAAGTTACCTGTATTTCTTCTATTTATTCAAAAAAATGCTGGCTGGTATAAGTGACTTTCAAAGTTTTGTAAAGGTATTGAATTCAAAATGTCTGTCTGATTATCTTCAGCTTCCACATATGCATCGTTTCGAGATAGTCTGCCTGCTTCTTTTGGCTATTTCCTGTTTTTGAAGATTTTTCCGCTGTCAAGTGTGTGTCCATATTACGCCCATAACTTAACTTTACTAACTTAACTAAATAGTTTCTTCTTGTCCTATCAACGTTGACATTCCTTGCAAATACTTGATTTAACCTTGGATATGGTCAAATCAAGATAATATAAGTGAAGAAAATTCTCGTTTTCACCATTACTTCTTCTTGTGCTGTTTTTTTTAAAACAATCTAACATACGGTTTTTACTTATATGATCCAGCATTAAGTAACAATGCGAACCATTACTTAAATCCATCAAATAACAAAAATATTTATACCAACACCAATCAATTGCATCATCAAAACATAATGTCTGTAAATTTAATTCGCATTTTTGATCATCGAGCAAGAGTCAATTAATCGTTATGGGCAAAAGCACTTTATGCTCAAATTATATCCAAATTCATGCTTTTGAAAAACTCGATTTCACTATTACATAATTTTCGCTTGGTCAGTGATTGCAAATCTGTTAACAGCAAGTTAAAACTTATACCCAAAACTAGCTGTAACACCTAGTTTTTCATACACATTTTGTATCTTTTTCTACACTGTGTTGGTTTGTGTTTTTAACACCTTTTGATGCACGCCTATTTATTATGCAGCTTCCTTTTCGATCCATTTCAAACACGATGTTAACTCATCGAGGTACAAATATCAATGTCGACTTACTTCAAAAGAGAAGCTGTACTCCAAAAATTGTTCCAATACGGTCTTCTTTCTATCCATAGGACATTTATACACTTTTTTATTTAAATAACAAACTCTCTTCCACGTGCTATAAGTTTGTAAATATTTTGAATTTCGGTCTGATTTTAGCAGTATACTCTTAAATAGATGTTACTATTGAAATATGGAAGAAAAAACCTTGGTACAGTAATAGACCTTTAACGTACACGGTAGAGTTAATTTCAGCATGCTAAACTAATCAAATTGTGCACGCTGGAGATAATTCTAGAAGTGTCGTATCCGACAGTCACCTTCCGGCCAGTTTTTAATCCATTTAGCCCCGTGACGTCAAAGGTGGTGACAAAGTTCATACAAATAGAAAATATATTGTTTTTTGTGTTGATGGTGTGGGTTTTCAAGTCGGAAATTGTCTAATTTAACGCAAGTTACAACTCTATGTCTTGTGCCAAAGGAGCTAAAGGCATTCACATCAGGTGGTTGTATAATGTAAGTTGTATGTGGGGGCAAAGCATACAAAATTATATTATTGTCGCCATACAATTTGTTTAGGTGAGAGGGGAAGGTTGTTTTATTAGGGCCACTTCGACGTTTTTTGATATATAGAGATTCATAAAACTTTTGGTAAAAATTAAGTAGCTGAAAAAGAAGCTCCCAAAGTATACTTTCAAACTAACATAATTTATTAAGTTTAAAAATATAGTAATACTGAAAAATTAATCTAAATAAATTTAGTAATCGGTCTAATTAAGGAAATTAGTTTTCTAAGTTCTAGTCTTTGCAGTAACTCCAGCACACACTTTTTTATTTTTCTGGTTCTACTTTTTGCAGAAACTTGGTGATCTTTTCTTTAATATTTGTTCAAAATCATTGGATAAATCTTTAAGTCATTGTTTCTTGTTCTGTGGCACGTCGTTATCTTTATTATAAGCACTGCTAGAAGTTTTAAAACGGATTTCAGAAGTTTGCAAAACATGCCACACAGGTCAAATTCATTCTCTGCATTATAGTGAAAGCGGTCACCATGTGCCTAGTAATTAAAGTGTTATGATTCCATATACTGTAGCAAAATCACAAACTGTTGATAACAAAAATGTTGTGTGACCATCAAGCAATAGCAATACTTTGTTATGCAGTTGACATGCTTGTGCAATTTTTTCAGCCACCTAAGAAATAAATTTTTACATCAATATTATATTTTTAACACAACAAGTGCACTGCAACCTCTGGATCAAGGCATAATTGCGGCTATGAAGAAACGATATCGTGCACGACTTGTTAGAGCAGCAATTTTGGCAATAGAATCAAACCAAGAAAAGCCAAAATGGAATTCTTTACAAGCGATAAGAGCGTTGTAAGATTCGTGGTGTAGCTCGTTAGTAGCTTTTACTTATATGCTTTACTCATTGATAGGCTGAATTTGCTGATGTGGAATGGGACAATTATCAACAAATCTTGTCAGTTCAACTGATACAGGTTAGTTTTAATGATTACGTCAGCGTTGATGGTACGATAACGACTACAGAAGCAGTAGACATAGACTTGGCAGTAGTGAATGTAGACCAAGAAACCGAAGAAAAAGAAGAAGGCGAAGAACACGATGAAAAAGAAGTTAATATAATAGCACCTTCAAGAGCTGAAGTTTTAGCTGCTCTCTATACAATCCAAAGATAACATAAATATTATTAGTTATCCAACGATTCAGAAGTTTTGTTGATTCAGAAGGGAATGTTTCTGAAAATTTCATGGATTCTTCGAATAAAATGACTGAGTAAAATGATGCCTAAGACGAACAATGCCTATTCAGAGGCATAAAATAAGTGATTATTTTCAAAAAAAAATGTTAAAATGTTATTATAACGTACTTATTATATTCAACTTATTACACAGTCGATGCTAATATGTTTACGTAAACATACCCCTAGAGCCTACCGATTATCATTCATTATAACGAACTAGTTCGTTATATCGCAAATACGAACATCCCATCATAACGAACGGTTTGCTTTCCTCCCTGCGTGTTCGTTATATCGAGGGTTTACTGTAATGGTTCTATTGATGGTTGCTTTACATCAGTGGCATCAGCCCTTTAACATGCAAGAAAGCAGGTGATACATCAGATCACGTCGATTGATTCGTCAAGAATAGAATACTTTGAATACACTTTTAAGAACATTTAGTACATACTCTTTTGCAAAAATATCGTAGGTGTGTTTTACCAACTTTTTATTAAATAACACATTTAATTCCTATTTGAAAGCATATTGCCAACTACTTCAGAAGTGTAATTTGCTCAATTTCAGGCCATGATGAGTATTTACGTCCATCATATTTGTTTGTCACCGATAAAATTAAATCTGCAATAGAACTGCGTCAATGTTGTAAATTCATACATGCGATTGTGTTGTATGCCATAAGCGAAAATGATTTGGATAGACGGCCACGCATTGTCAAACCACTCGGATTCAATAGTAATAGCAGTTTCTTCTAAATTATGGACACACATTTTGATGTTGCATGCAAAATCACAATCAATTTTTCCTTAATTATTGTTATTATTAGCGTCTTCATCAACAAAATTCTCATTCTCTGATCTTCTTATACGATTCTGTAACAGCTTCTTTCCTATTCAGTCATATCCACATCTAGCAAAATCCATTTAAAACTTGAAGATCCATTTATCACTAAAACCAAGTGAAACGAAAACAAAGACAATAAGTACCTAAGCGAAAATTTAAACTTTTACGATGTTCAGATAGCGGTTAACTTTGAATATGTTTACTCTATATCATTCCTAGAAATAACTTAAAGATCACAAAGTACCACGGTTCTGTTTTGTTACGGCCTTATTCGATCGAGAAGAAGTAATTTATTAAAAAGCAGGTCGTAACAAATGAGCTACTTTCTGGATTATGCCCTTCTTCCAACATCCCTTGTTTACAATCGGCGATTTACGCTCGCACATCCCCTAGGATAATAAAACGGCCGTTGTCGCCCGGGTATATTGCCGAATTTTATCAACATCACAGGAATCCCAATATCGAACTTCAGAGTTGAGTCGTGGGCGGAAAGGGGGATCGCAAATGGGAATGGGTTAGGGGGTTTTATCCGCCCCCTACGAATGTCCGGAGAGATTTCATTATGCGCGGTTGTTCAGAATGCGCGACACCAAATGGACGCCATCAGTCAGGCGTCAGGGTTTAGTGCGAATCTCGCGACGCACACGTCCGGGGAGGTGGAGGAGACACAAGGGGTGGGGTGATGCTCGGGGGCTGCATTATCCGCGGGGGGTTTGTTGCCGGGGGGTCGAGTTCCCGTGACGGATCCGGGTCGCGTTATTAATGGGTAAGGGAGAGATTTTGGGGATGAAAAATTGGCCTCTTTGTTTGGCCTTTCGCCGACGACGCCGGATTTTAACCGGAATTGGGTGTTTATGTGGGCTCGTTTAATTGTCCCACATCGTAATTACTTCCTATTTCCTCTACACATGAGGTTTCCTTTAAACCCAACGGTACGTTTAACTGAAACTAAACTAATTCTTTTTCTCTTTATGTTACAGGCGAGAAACCTTACAAGTGTTCGTGGGAGGGTTGCGAGTGGAGATTCGCGAGATCGGACGAATTAACCCGTCACTACCGTAAACACACGGGTGCGAAACCGTTCAAATGCCGCCACTGCGATCGTTGCTTCAGTCGTTCGGATCACTTGGCCCTACACATGAAGCGTCACAATTAGGCGATCGAATTAAATCGATCGCCGAACCACTGCCAAGTTACCGATAGATTTGTACATAGTTCTTAGGAGGGTGTGTGGACGTTGCTCGTGCGCGACGGGACGCCGATCGTCCGTTCGTTTTTGTCTGGTTCGTTTCCGTCTTGTTTTCACACATATAGAGCGAGGATACTTTCCTCAGTGATGTTCAATCCTGTGATCGACAACGGATTACATACATAAAATAACACATATTAGAGAGAAAGAGTGTTTATTATCGACCTTTTTAGTAGTTATAAAACTATCGTCGTGAGTTCTTCTCACCTTCTTTATCTATAACATACCATCTATTGATTGGGAATTAAAAATACAAGTCAAAATGGTGCAATATCTATATGATTATGGAAACAAAAAACGCTAAGCTCTATTTATATTGAAATTAAGAACATTATGAAAACTATTTTCTTTGCTCTTTATTTATTGTTATAACTTCAAGAACATTCTGTATAATTGAAAACAATAAATTTCGCAAATTACAACAAAACGACAATAAAGCGTCAGTGAGTTCAAGTTACTCTTAATTAGAAATTAGTGTAAAACCCGATGTCGAGCACATCCAAATATTAATTAACCGTACATGTTTATAGATAATTATATACATGTACGAAACGAGGGTCGGACAAGGTATGCTTTTTGATGAAAACAAAGCAATAACGGTTTTGCAACCGGCGGCTATACGCTTTTGTTTCCATGGTGACGTGTGCAATATGATGGTTTGATAAAAATTGAAAAAGATGGATAAGAAGGAGTCGCGACGAACATTTTTTTTTCTAGCTGATTCTTCTCTTGCGTTGTGTTTTCATCTTTAGATAGTCACCGTACGAATGTGTCAAAAGTATTAAATCAAAGACTGTGCTGGCGCACGTGCCGAAAGCGCTACGATAGGCTGTAAGCCCGAAGAATCAAAAAGAAAATAAAATAAAATGAAAAAACACACACACATACACAATGGGAATATCGAGGAGAATTAAGAGAAATTAAAAAAAAATACAAGAAAACTAATAAATATAAGGATTTAGAATTTTAGGTCTTAAATGTACACATACCCGAAACACACACACACACGCGCGTTTTTTCGAAATAATAAAACTGAAAGTATTATTAAAGAAATAGGTAATTATATTTTTGAGAAAGTGACCTTGGATGAAAATCTACTTTTTTCAAAAATGCAACGACGTAAATTAAAATGAAAAAAAAATAATAATAATAATGATAAAACGTAGCAGCAATTGCGACGGCCCTTTTTGTACAAAGTACACGCGGTTCCACCTGTTAATCGCTTCGGAAGGTTTAGAAAATTTTTGAAAATTAGTATAATCGTTTTTTAGGTAGAAAAATGTTAGGGAAAAAATGTACCGAAGTGGATCGAATAGGCGGAACCAAAAATTCGGCCTGCTTCCCAAAATAAAAAAAATTAATACAAAAATACGCATTCCTTATTACCGCATTCTATATATTTTTACTCGTCATGTTGTCTAGGTATATTATATATAGAGTGAATGTCTGTGTGTGATAAGAAGAAAAGGAGAAACTCTTTAGTGTTCTTTAAATAAATGAAGAAGAAGAAAATAAAACGTTTTTGAGCGTTTTTGTATAGTTGCATGCTTCTAATTTTGATTTTTAATCGTGGTCGAAGAAATAAAAAACCGTAAAGAGTAAAAATATTTGAGAACAGCTGTGCGTGTGCCCTTTATTCTTTTTTTTTTTGGCTTGAGTGTGCGTGCGAAAGAATTCGTTTCATTGTTCTTCCTTAGTCGTAGTTTACAGAGTAATATATTAATGAAAAAGAAGAGAGAGAAATGGAATTTAGTGTATAATCGATTTTTTTACTTGCTAGAGCGAGTGTTGATGTTCAATTTTATTGTAATTTTTTATTGTTGCACAAGAGAAATGTGTTAGAAATTTTAATTAAGTTTAAAATATTTACGAACAAAATTTAAAATAAGAACAAAAATTATTGTTAAAGTTTAAATGTGATAATGTTTGAAAAAAAGAGTACGTTCTTAGGCAACCTGAAATAAGTAAGTTTTTTTTAATTGATCTTTAAAATCATATAAATAAAGAGATAAATTGGAGAAACATGGTTCGGATAATCTGGAAAATACTTTTTTAAAATTTTGGGCAAAACGAAATAAAGATGGAATTTTCTTACGTTAAAGCTGCGATATTTGGTTTATATCCAAGACAATTAATAAAATTAGTTATTAAAGTGTTATAACGACCATCGTCGCATTATTTTCTTCCCCTGAAGGGGTGTTCACTTTTAAGATTTTTCTACAACGATTCTTAACTACTACAACCATTGGTTAAAACATAGGATGAAGCACAAATTTGGATATCTTTAAGTATTTTGCAACAATACTACTGGTAAAAATTTAAATAATAATTTTATATCCCGCGGTTATTTTGCATTAGTTGTAATAGTTCCCGAAAGGTGGAGCGATCAATAAATATAGGCCTAGGCACTTTTATTTTTTCTGTTGAGACGAAAAAGAAATTGAAAGAAAATATTACTTCTATCTGTATTGAACAGAGAACGGAATAAATCAGGATGTGATCGAAAAGTTGTTATTGAAAAGTTGTGTTTAGAGTGATGAAACTCGGTCATGAAACAAAGTTTCGTAAATGCTTAGTTGATTACATTTCTTTACGCTTGATAGTCACCTTCCTCCTAGAAAGAAATCAATTTTATCACGGATTGAGTCATTTTTAACAACGCTGTGCAGTAACGATCGATTAACCACCCCAAAAATATCTTTGTTAAAAACGCACGATTCCCCTTCACTAAAACACCGTAATGACTGAACAAACTTGCATATCATCCTCGATTGATTTCTTCCCCAGTCATCTGCGATTGAGTTCTGCGAGGAGGGCAGAACCTCGAACACTTGAAAGAAAAAACATTTTTGCCCACGCAAACACTCGTTCCAAATCGATCAATTTTTTGTATAATGCCATCCATGATTTGAGGCATTTGGTAAAAAAATTATTCCAATTAATCAATCAACAACAAAAAATCGTGACCAATTAAAATCCTAAGCATAAGTACTAGATAAGAAATAAACAGAGTGAGTCAGAAAGTATGAAAAATTTGAATTGGAGATATTGGACACCAAAATATCATCTAATATGTAACAAAAATTTAACCCAATATGGTTTATTACCAAAGTTGCTAGTTTAGAAGATTGATTTAGATCAAATTGATACATTAAAATTGATGCTTTCACGTCTTTGGTCGTAGAGAACGCATTTACTCCTTATTATTGTAACCCAGCTCCCATTGTAACATTTTTTATAATCGAAGAAATTCTCTTCAAGAAGTACTGCTATCAATTTACGTTGGTTCAATTGCCAAAAAACAGCCAGTATAATCAGAATTCGTAGGTTATGATGGTCGAATGAATGGCTATTAAAAAGATAAGACATTTCTGATGTCAGATTATTATGTAAATTTCGTAATTAACCAATTTAAATATAATAACACCCTATATCAAGAAATAAGATACTTGCATGTGCAAAATTGATTTCATCACACGGCATTTTGAACGCTTCATTAAGATTCCTTACACGTTCTATGGAAAATATGTCAGAATCACTCTGCGCAAGAGAAGTGAACCTAACTTAATTCTTATGGGAACAACGAATGATAACTGTGGGTTTATTTCCTGTAATGTTGTCACAAATGATATACTATAGTTTATTACCACATTTAATGAAAACGTAGCCAATAACGATCATATAAAATTAAGAGTCAAGTTAATGTTTCAAATTCCATTGAAATTCTTGGATATATGTTTATTGCCAATGAAATCTTCGTAATGTGTCGAGATCTTATTAAGACATACGATAGGGAAGCACTACCATTATTTTACATAAAACTAAATTCTTTATCAGATTTCAAACATTTCTTGACTACAATTCCATGGATAAAAAATAGCGTCTCCTAAGGCGAATCTTCTAAGAAATATTGGTATAAAGCAACTTGGGATAAAGCATCATAATTTATTGTTTGATATCTCTAGTTCAGAGATTAGACATAACTTTCGATTCATCCTGTACAAAAGAAAATACCAAAGTACCATCACTTCTCTCTTCCCATATTCAATCCATTTATTTTTTTCAGTGTTCTCAACTTCATCATTTTTTACCGAACCTTTTCGCCAAACGATGTAATCCACCATCTAACAAAACCACCCCCAATGTCATACTTTTATTGCTTTTTGATAGGCAAATAGAGTTTCATAAGATATTCAATAAAAGTTGAAATTAGTGAAAAGTTTCCAAATTTTGCTTAATGTTTAATCTGTAGTTAATTCGTTCATAAAAAAATCAACAAAAAAGCAGTAGGAATCGCACTACAATCATTTATTCATGCCTCTATAACATATAACGTAAAACATACATTTTGCTGAGTGCCAGAGATTCATACATTAAAAAATAACGAAAAATCGATTTATATAACTAACTTTTTTGAATCTTTCAGAAATTATTAATAAAAGTATTCTTTTTAATGCAGAAATCCGTTTCGAAAAATCTCGATTCGTTTGTGAGATATAATTTATTAAAATTAAATAATCCAAAAATACAACAAAAGTTTTGTCTTTAAGTGGTTAAGATAATTTCTGCTTCCTGTTAAATTATAGGCATATAAGTCAAAGACAGTAATTATTGAACGACAAGGATAAAAATAATTGCGTTATTGCCCTCCTTCTAGATTGCCCCTCTATCAAAAATTACTTCCTCTCCATTGTCGTCATTTACTTCGTACACACACAATCTCTATCCGTATTCATCAAGCGAAATCTCCTCGAGTCATTCCCCCAGGTTCAAAAACAGTTTTACCATGTTTATCTACCCAGTCGTAATTCCACGTCATATGAGACCTCTCCCTTTCGCGTTTCTCATTCCATTTACATTTACATCATTTCTTGCAATCGTTTATTTTCCACTGAATATTAAGCTGCATTCCATTTTAACCGATTTATCTTTACGCATCTTCCTCACAATATTTCCTTTTACAACCAACTCATTTTCGCAATTCATCGTTTATCCAAATTTTTGTCGCCCATCCAATAAAGCCAAACTTTCCCAATTCTATTCTTTTTCCATTCACTCAACTTAAATGCTACCTCTGTTCGTTTCGTTTACAGCAGTCCGCATAAATCACCTCCACATCCCCTTATTCTCAATTAACCTCACTTTACCTTTATAAAAACACATTTCACTTTCCGTAGACATCCTTTCCCAACTACTCTCTCTCTGCTATATGTGACCATTTCCGCTGCGTAGAATGCTGTCTAGGGGGTGCAGAGGTTTGGGTTAGAAGGATTTCTGCTCAGCATTTAAACCCTTTACAAGCCGGGCATCAAGACCTTCCCATTAATTTTCTTCATCCCAACACTTACACCCCATTTCTTACCAGCCCCTAATTATCATATCGAATTCATGCGTTTAGAGAGCTTTTAAACGTAAAATCATGCATTCTTAACTTATTGAAATCTGTCGTGTTCCTAAGCCAAATATCGCACTTTGTAATGCAAAATTTCCACGTGATGTGTTATGTTCATTGAAGTTTGTGACAGTTTTCTTTTGCCTCAACTTCTCAATATTAAGATTGAGAAATATTTTCAATTCATTAATTGTGTTTCTATAACAAGTTTCCATCTTGTCAATTTTTATATCTGTAAGTTTTATAAATACAACGTTTTATTCTGAATCATGTTTCCCCATCTAAAACTGATTTTTAGTGATGACTAAAATGAAACGTAGAAATTTATGCGGTTGCCTAAAAAATGTAATGTATACCTCGGCAACGATTTATCTTAAAAATAACTTTTCGGCCTTGATATACATATAAAATCTTTAACAATTTTTATTTTAAAACTAAAATAATATACGTAAAAGAGTACCTGTTAATAGCGTACTTACAGGTTTATTCGATGCCTAAAAAGTAAAGAACAAAATATT